TAACGGACCACGTCCAGGGTGTCCTCCCCTCTCACCACTCCTCACCTCCACAGCACACGGCGCCCAGCGGGCTGAGCTCTGGTCTCTGAGGTGCCACTTCAGGCCACTGATCACTGGAGAGCACACCCCTTCCCAGCGTGCCCACCCCCGGGGCCTGCACACCCCCTCAGCGTGCTGTGCCGGAACACAGTCCTGCCGCCACGGGAGCTGGGACTAGGGATCAGGCAGGTGCTCTCATGGATGATCCTCCATCAACCTCGCCCACAGCACCTCTCCGTCCCAGTCACACTCAGTCACTGTTCTCTCACAGGAGATAAGGCAGGGCTGAGGGAACGCAATGGCGCTAGGACTTCTCCCCAAAGTCTGAGAGGAAATGGGGAAGTGCAGCAGCCTCGGTGGGAGGGGCGCTGGCCAGGGCCACCTTTCTGCCCCAGCCCAGAGCTGCCTTTCTGCCCCAGAGCCTCTTTCCGCCTTCCTATGCTTCTCAGAGGCCCTGAGCAGCTGGGGGCGCGCAGAATGCATGGGTCGTCACCAGACACAAGCATCCCTGGCTGCTCAGTGCCACATATGCAAATCAATCCACCATCTTTGTTGGGTTAATTTCCATGCTCACTCTTGATTGGCTGGTGGGCATTGCAAAGGTACGATCAATTAGGGTGTTACCCTTTTATTAGGTAGATAATTCATTGTTTTCTGATGAGGGTACATTGGATGTTGAATGTTGGGAAAGAATAGGTCAAAACTTGAAAGAAGCTCAGCAGTCCCCCCGCCCCAGGGCCCCAGGGCAGCTGGGGGGATCAGCAGTGGTGACCACAAGGACAGCTGCCACCAGGAGGCTCAATAGTCCCTCCATTAACCTTTTTTTTTTCTCAGAGAGCAGCGGGGCCTGAGGAGCCATTCCCGTTCCCTGTGAGATGAGGCGATGGGTCACTCGGGGCACGAGGCCGACTGCAGAGTCCGCTGTGGGTCCCTCCTCAGGGCAGCCTCCACTGGAGTCCCTGCCTCCTCCCTACAGTCAGACCCCTCCCCCGCTCACAGCTGGGCCTCCCCAGAAACTGTCCCACCCTGAGGGGCCACCTGGCTCAGGGGGGACCCGGACCGACCCGGTCTAAGTGAGAGACACACTGAAGCCCATCCAGTCCCAGATCCCCACCGAGCACAGACCCACAGGGGGCTCCACGGCCCGCCCGTCCCATGTCATCGAACCCCTCACCCAGGGGCCAAAGTGCCGCCAGCGCCTGTGGAGCTATCTCTGACCATCAGCACCAATAACCGCTCTGTGTGTCGTAAACTAAATAGATAATCAATGTTTATTGAGTAGATTACCGGTTTAGTGCACCAGCTTTAAAAAAAAAAAAAAAAAAAAAAAAAACTTTGAAAACAAATTTCAAAAAATTTCCAGAGCCTACCATTATGTGTCTCTCTGTGTCTTTGGCACGAAGTTTGGTTGCTGAGTTTTTTGCTTTCTACCCCCTTGCATGTGCGCACGCACGTGCACGCGCGCGCACATACACACACATACACACACACACACTCACATACACACACACACATACACTCACACACATACACTCATACACACACACACTCACATACACACACATACACTCACACACATACACACACTCATACATACACACACTCACACACACACACACACACACACACACACACACACGATTCTGTCCTGGAAGTGAATGCCTCGTTAGCTTCCCCCAACGCAGGGCAGGAGGTAGCAACGTGGGGCCCGGGCGCTGAGCAGCTATGAGAGCAGCGGGGTGGGCGCTGGCAGGCACCTCCCCCTCCAGCAGAGGCTCAGCCACCACACGGACACGGGAGGCAGGAGACCAGTCTGGGGTCATCCACACGGAGGGTGACCTGAGAGGCTGCAGGGCTGCCTGGAGTCGGCGGCCCTGGGCTGTGCTGCTGCGGGCAGAAGCCAAGACGCTGGCAGAGAGCACGGGCAGAGGAGGCCTGCTGGTGGAGTGGGCCTGAGGGTCTGACCGGCCTGCCCCTGCCCCTCCCCGCCGGGCCACAGGAAGGACGGTTCGCAGCCCTCTCTCCCTGAGGAGGCCGGGACCTGCAGCCTGCCCACCACGGAGGCCGGTGGGACGAGACATCATGCTGAAGGCAGGGAAAAGCATTCTTTCATGGAGTAGGCAAGTCCCTCCCAGACACGGCGTTAAAAAGTGACTGATTGAGGAGTGAAGCCGTGACCTTGGGACTCCAGGCGGTCGCCCCATCGGAGGCGGGGAGGTCTCAGCGCACAGGTGCCCGGGTCCCGCACCAAGGCCTGTGAGCACCGTTACTCTCACGGTCAGAAGCACCAGCTGGGCCACCGGAAAACACTTCTCCCCGTGGACAAGATGAATGTGCATTTCAGCTCAGCTCCATAGCTGTGCTCTTCACCTTGCGGCCACAGAGGGCGGACGAGAGGTGAAGGATAAACAGACAGAAAGTGAAAGGCCCATTAAGTGGTTAAGGAGAGTGACTCTATCTGAGCTAGACCGAATCCTTATCAGTGGGCGAGTTAAGAAGCAAATTGCTATTGCCAAGGACAGCAGCCTTGCACAAGTGGGAGGGGGGGGGAGGTAGGGGAGAGGCCAAATGTCAATGTCCGATGGACTGAGGTGTGCAGGGGCCTTATCTGCACTCGGAGCTCCCTGAGGCGAGTCCTGTCCCGATGCCGCCGGGAGATAGGGCACATGCAGCCCTGCTGGCACCAGGACAGCTTGCTCAGCGCCTCTGTCCGCCACCCGGGGCGTCCCTACTGCCTCTGCTCCTCTCCCCTCCCATGCTGTGCTCGGTCTTTCTCTCCTGGTGGTCTCCCAAACCCCTCCCGTGTGTGTGCCAGATGGAGCTATGTGTGTCGCACATACACACACCTGTGTGCATGGGACTATATGAAATATGCACATACATGTATGTGTGAGTGTACACACCCACACTTAAGCCAACAGAGTCCTGAACATTACTGCAGTTCTGTCCAGCTGTAGGGTTAGGTCTCCTCGGCTCCTTTTTCTCTTTATGCCTCTTACTATTTTCTTACATGCATTGACCGCTCCTTAGCCTAGAATTAAATTCTTTTCTTTTTTAAAATGTATTTTTATTGATTTCAGAGAGGAAGGGAGAGGGAGAGAGAAACATCAAGAGTTAGAAAAATCATGGATCGGCTGCCTCCTGCACACCCTACACTGAGGATGGAGCCTGCAACTCAGGTCTGTGCCCTGATCATGAATCAAACCGTGACCTTCTGGTTCATAGGTCAATGCTCAGCCCCTGAGCTACACGTGGCTGGGCTAACATGTTTTCTTAATGATGTAGAGGAGTATTTAACGGAATGGGGAAATGTTATGATAGTTGTTCATTTTGAGAGTGTTTACAAACGGTATGTATGCTATGGCTGCGACCAGCTCTGAGGCCGGGTATCTGCAATAGTGAGCCTGTGAAGGGCGCCCCTCAATTTGGCTGCAAGGCGGGAGCCCCCTGGAATCGGAGCAGCCAGCGCGGGCCCTGCTGCTCACTGCTGCTCCCCGGCGGGAATTGGGGAACACAGGCCTATGTCTTCTGCCCAGAATTTCTGCAGGTTTCCTGGCATCTCCGCCCTCAAACCTGGACCTGACACCACCGCCACTTGAGATTAAGACGGGTCTGAGGAGGCGGCAGGAGTGAGGTTGGCAGGCCACGAGCAGGCGGCCCGTGGGAGGCAGGCTTACCGGACGTGGCACTGAGAGGCTTCTTATGGCCACGCGGGTGTCAGGAGAAAAGCAGGGCGAGGGGTGGGGTTTCCGGGCGCAGGAAAGGGGTGCCCTGGAGACCCAGAGGGAGGGGACAGGTGAGCACAGAAAAGGTGCGAGGGCTTCCTGACTGGCACCAGCACCCTGATGGCTGGAGAATGTCCAGAACAGGAGGGCTACCTGGGGGAGGAAGAGGCCGCGCTAACGGACTTCTCCCTGGTGTGCAGCCTGGGAGGGAGGCTGAGTGTGCAGAGCTGTGGCTGCGGGGGGAGGGCTGCCCATGGCCCATGACGGACGGCAGCCGGGGGTCACCAGACGAAGTGTGAAGTGCCAGGTCGGGAGCTGGGAGGCCAGAGGGACAGTGGCTTCCCCACGTGGACATGGGTCCCCTGGGGGTGGCAGTGAGCCAGCTCAGTGTGGATGGCAGACAGCACGATGGGACGACACACCTGGAGAAGGTGAATAACGTGAGGCCGCGGCTGGAAGGTCATGGCCCGTTGGACATGGGCTCAAAAGAAAAGCTTTTCTTAAAAAGAAAAAAAAAGGGGGGGGGGGGCCTAAGGTGTGGATGTGCCCCCGCCAGGTGTGCGGAGTCAGGGCAGGGAGAGGGGAGCAGGGAGAGGGGTCAGTGAGCGGTGGGTGTGACAGACTCGCAGCTGCTTTCTGATGGAGTTCTCATGTTTCCCAGCCTCCTTTCTGCCTCTAGAATCCTCCCATCCTCACCCCCCACCCCCTGGGCCCATCACCATTCAAGGGCAAAGCACCAGCGGCCCAGTCTGCCCAGGGCCAGGCTCCCCGCCAGGTGCGGAGGGCCAAACTCCCAGCAGCCCTGACACAGGGAGGGACACGCTCAGTGCCTTATAACTGGTTTGTTAGTCTCAGTGCCTTATAACTGGGGCCTCGCAGCTGCACTTGGCCAGAGAGCCTCACTGACAAGGAAGTTGCTGTTGGGAACGGAGCAGCCACGGGGTCTCACTGCCCAGCTGTTACTTGATCTGTGCTCCAGGCTATCTCCAACCAGCTGCACTTTGAACCTCGGAGCAAAAAAGCCTCCCTCAGAGCCTATGACTTCTAATTCTCCAAGCAAACGTCCCGCCAACTGTGGTTTGAGAAAGAGCAGGCGTGCTTTCCGGATTCTAATGCAGTGAGTGTTCAGGAGAGGAACTGAGGGGTTTATAGATTTATAGGAACAAAAATTGCTTTGCATTTGAGAAACTTAGGTGAGGTGAGATGACCTTCTGAACTTTAAACTTCCACATCACAGCGCGAGGTTGGCTGTAAGATAAGAAACAGAATAAATTCTCTCCTCAGGGCGGACCTGATCCTGGCAACAAGCTCAGACTCCGGCGGAGACCATGGCGTTTGATGGGACCTGGAAGATCGACCGGAACGAGAACTATGACAAGTTCATGGAGAAGATGGGTAAGGCTTCCCCCGACCTGGTTCCCTCTTCTGCTCCCCACACTCTTCCTCACCCCCTGCCCCGGCAGAGCAGGGCACGCCCGGCTCCCAGCCCCCGGCCCCCGGCTCCAGGCTCCCGGCTCCCGGCCCCTGGCTCCCACTGGAGACACTGTCACTAGTGGAAGCAAAGACCTTGGGTGCTGTCCCCGAGTTGTGAAGATGCAGATGTTTCCTTGTGCTAGAGCTGAACTGCCTTCATTGGGACCGATTGATCCTACTGCAAATGGTCCCACTGGAGTCCCACACAGCTTCTCCCAAAGGGAAGGAGGGCGGTGTGCACGGCCGCTCCCGGCCTGGGACTGCGTTCCAGGACCTGTCCAGCCCCGGCATGGGATGAGTGAGGGGGGCTCTAGCAGGAGTCGCAGGCCAGGCAATGACCTTGGAACAACCTCCAGACAGCCCGGGGTTCCTCAAAGCCCCAGTGTAACTGGTTTTAATAGCTGCTCCAACACTTGGCCACTCACACGCCCAAGAGGGACAGACACACCGGTGACATTACTCAGAGCAAAAAGCTGCCTGCACTGCGACCTGCAGCTCAGGGACTGGAAGCTGGCATTTGTGGAATCTGTAGGCTTATGACAATGACCTTGTCTGTAATAATTGCTGGCTTCCTCATGTTGGTGACAGTCAGAAATGCCTCAAAAAGCAAAGATAAGGACAAAGGTCAAAATCTGAAGCCATTGTGGAAAACAGAATTGCAGTAAGAATAGAATCCTGTATTTGCAGAATTTAAGTTGTATAATCTTACACATGGATGAAAGTCATTTTAATCCTTCACTGATCATATCTGGAATTTGGTTTGACTCTGAGACAAAAAGGTTGGTCACTTCATTTAAATTACTCAGTTCTAAGGTTCTGAAATTCCATGCTCCATTTATTTTTTCTCAAATTCAGAGAGAATAGCTTGTTGGGGCTGAGGACCTGCTGGGCGGGGACTTTTTCTGCAGAAGCACCTGCCTGGCTGCAAGGCCAAGCCCTCCGGCCTTCTACCCCCTCCCACACACAACCACACAGACACACACACAACCACACAGACACACCCACAGACACACACCACACACACACACACACACACACACACACTCACACACACACCACACAGACACACCCACAACCACACACACACACACACACACACTCACACACACACACACCACACAGACACACACACCACACACACCACACACACACCACACACAACCACACAGACACACACACAGCCCACACACATACATACCCACACACACACCCACACACACACCACATTCACCAGACACACACAGACACACACACACCACACACACACACACACACACACACACACACACACGCACGCACACACTGTGATGACCTCAGGCCCCTCCCGCCCGCAGGCATCAACATGGTGAAGAGGAAGCTGGCGGCCCATGACAACCTGAAGCTGGTCATCAGCCAGGCGGGAAGCAAGTTCACCATCAAAGAGTCCAGCGCCTTCCGCACGGCCGAGATCGCTTTCGAGCTGGGGGTGACCTTCAACTACAGCCTCGCGGACGGCACGGAGCTCACGGTACGATCAGGGCGAGGCCGCTGCCGCCTCCCCCGCCCAGCGCTGCGCCCCGTGTGAGCGCAGGGGCTGGTTCACCTGGCGTTTACCACCCTCCCTGTCCCACAGCGGGAGGGGCTGGTGCACCTTCATTTCCGCCCACAGCTGTGAGGAACCGGCCTGAACAAGAATTAGGAAAAGCATTGACTGGTAGACCTAGTCATAGATAGCTTTCCCTACCTGACTGCAACCGAAACGTTTAGCTCTCTAGGCAGGCAGCATCTAACCAGTGTAATTAAGTGATAAAATGATTGTGAGTGAGAGAGGGCAAGGCCGCCTGCTCACCATGGGTCACACCGGGTCACGTTTGTGACACTAAGTTCTAAGGAGTCATGTATCAGCTGATGTTTTGGAAACTTGTACGTCCTCAGAATTTTCCTGGTCAAAAGCTGTGCTTGCAGTGACGGGGAAGTGTTGGCATCTGGCCGCTGAGTCCCTTACAGAGCTACTGGAACACGTTCCTGGCTACAGCCAGCAGGGTGCCGGGCCCGGGGGGACCAGAACCACCGAGAGGTCCCGGCGCTCTGCCCAGGAGGCCTGTAAGCCAGGCGTGGGCTGAGTGGCCGCTGGGCCGGCTCCCGCCGGGGTCTCCCCCGTGAGACGGAGAGCGGGACCACCCACGGTCATCGGGAAGATGGGAGATGCCCCCCACCCGGCTGGGAGCAGCGCCTGGCATCCCTGTGACTGTCCTGTCCTGCAGGGGACCTGGAGCCTGGAGGGAGACAAGCTGGTCGGGAGATTCAAGCGGGTGGACAACGGGAAGGAGCTGAACGCCGTCCGAGAAATCGTGGGCGGCGAGCTGGTCCAGGTGAGCTGTGACAACGCCACTGCTTCCCCCGGTGAACACCTCCGCGACCGTCACTCATCCTCGGGGCTGCCGGGTTACAGCTTCCGTAGCCAGATCATTACTTTCCTCAACAACCTTCTGGTTTTAACAACATACATTTCTTCTGACCCCTGTTTATTGGAGCAAACTTACATTCATGTCCAATACATCAATGCCTATTTTAACTGAAATGTGATGGCAAACTGAATGTTTCTAGTTTTTACTTCTTAACATATTTTTATTGATTTCAGAGAGGAAGGGAGAGGGGGAAGAGAGAGAAACATCAATGATGAGAGAGAATCATTGATGGACTTCCTCCTGCATGCCCTACACTTGGGCATCAAGCCCACAACCCAGGCATGTGCCCTGACTGGGAACTGACCCTGGGCCCTCTTGGTTCATGGTCGATGCTCACCACTGAGCCATGCTGGCCGGGCACACTGCATGTCTGTAGTAGATGTGGTCTGTGTCTGTACAAAGCGCTGTATGAGGAACAAGGAAAAGCACTTCAAAGCAATAATATTACGTGAATCTATTGATAATCTAATGTTTTTCTTAATTTATCCTTAAATCTTAATGCTGTTAACACCTCCTGTCTGTCACCGCCTTTCAGACATACGTGTACGAAGGGGTGGAAGCCAAGAGGATCTTCAAAAAGGAGTGAGCGGTGCCCGCAGCTCAGCTGGACCCACAGGGACGGCGTTGTGTCACCACCGTTGTGTCCCCCCCGGGGCAGTGAACTCCAGGCCGGCCGGCCGCGCGCCCCCGGCTCCCGCATCCAGCCTCCCCAAGCCCAGAAGGGAAAGCTCATTCGGGCTCAGCAGGGCGCCCTCTCTGAGCTGTGCCCCGATGGGTGTTCTGAAAGAATCTGACCTTTTGTAAAAGATGAATAAACATCGTTCCCACATCACTTTACAAGGAGCCTCTCCTTTAAAGAGGAAAAAGCTATGTCGCAGTGTGTGTGGACAGGCTGTTTGGGTTTTTTTTGTTTTGTTTTTTTTCTCACATATTTGGTTAATTCAAAGCATAGCCCACACAGGGTCTGAACAATCCTGCACTGGTTTTAAATATTTTCTTTTGTGAAATGTATTATTATAAAAATAACATATACTCGCCCAGAAAGCTTACAAGTAGAAAAGCAGGTGGAGAATTCACATTCCCACCAGCCCTGGGCTCAGCGCTGGTCAGCATCCTGGTCTTAGCTGCCCTCTCCGGCCTGGTCTCCGGAAACAGGCATTTCTCCCCAGGGTCACTTCCACAGCACGGCCGCGTGCGGGTGAGGCCTGGCCTGCGTGTCTGACTGCCGGGGCTCCAGGCCCGAGGGCCTGGGAGGTTTCCGTCCTCCTCTCCCCCGGCCTCGGGCGGAACCTCTGGGCTGGCGCCAGGACCTGAGACCAAGGAGCACAGACACCGGCCGGGCCCCCACCGCCCTCCTTCATCAGCACCTGCACCGCCAATGGCGTGGTCCAGCCTCTTCCTTTCTCACCTCCTCACATGACATACCACATTCCCATGTTCTCACATGACATACCACTTCCTCCTGTTCTCATGTGATGGACCACTTTCTCATCTTATCATGTGATATACCATTTTCTCATGTTCCCACACACTGTACCACTGTCTCATCTTCTCACACGATGTACCACTTTCTCATCTTCTCATATGACATACCATTTTCTCATGTTCTCCTGTGATGTACCACTTTCCCATGTTCTCACAGGATGTACTACTGTCTCATGTGCTCACAGGATGTACCACTTCATTTCCTTCCAGCAGCTGCAGTACAGGAGGGTGTGCATCAGGGTGGAGAGGGGTTGTTATTTTGTGACTCTCTCCGAGCTTTAGTTTCGACTGCCTTTTTCATACCATGAAGGTAACAATCACCGCGTATTTCATCCTGGTCGTGACCCAGCACTTCCTGCCGTGGGTGTACACATGGCAGACACATGAGAACTGGAAAGAGATGTGAGCACAAGATGCAAATGCACAGTTTGGAGAACACCTACCCTTTTGCAAAAGCGAGTCCTCAAATCCACTGTTTGCTTATAACTTCATTGGAAACTTCATAAGACATGGGATTTAGATTTTTACATGCTTTTTTGAAAATCAAGGCTCTGAGTACCTGTCCCTCGCTCAGCTCACCTCTGCGTGTCTGAAGTGGGGGGGCAGTGCCTGCCAGGTCGGGAAGTGGAGAAGCTGCCAGTTTGCTCCCTGGCTTGTCTCCTGTGTCGGAGACCCTGACCCTCAGTTGGTGCATAGATCTGTGCTGCTACCTGCCAGCGTGAACACCAATATCTTAAAAACAAAAGCCCCAGCTCCTCAGTGGCCCCAGAACAGCGCTCCAATGAGCCAGGGCTGATTGTCCAGCAGCGGCAGTCATGCTTGGGCCCTTGTCCATGACCATGGCTGTGACCGCCTGCTGCACCTCTCTTAGGGAAACTGACCTGAACTGAGCAGCTGTGGCTGGCCAGGGCCACTGTGGCTGGCGTGTGGCTGGCTCAGGGCTCCATCCATGGCTGGCTCAGGGTCTCCATGGCTGGCTCAGGGCTCCATCCATGGCTGGCTCAGGGCTCCATGCTGGCTCAGGGTCTCCATGGCTGGCTCAGGGCTCCATCCATGGCTGGCTCAGGGTCTCCATGGCTGGCTCAGGGTCTCCATGGATGGCTAGTGGCTGGCTCAGGGTCTCGATGGCTGGCTCAGGGTCTCCATGGCCAGCTCAGGGCTCCATGGCCAGCTCAGGGCTCCATGGCTGGCTCAGGGTCTCCATGGCTGGCTCAGGGTCTCCATGGCTGGCTCAGGGTCTCCATGGCTGGCTCAGGGTCTCCATGGCCGGCTCAGGGCTCCATGGCTGGCTCAGGGCTCCATGGCTGGCTCAGGATCTCCATGGATGGCTAATGGCTGGCTCAGGGTGACTGTGGCTCGTTAGGGTTGGCATGGCTGTCTCAGGACCTTTGTGGCTGGTCAGGACCACTGTAGCAGGAAGTGGAGCCCCCAGGGCCATGCACAGCCCATGGCGCTCCCTGTGAGCAGAGAGAAGGCAGGTGAGCCTGACTAGAAGGCAGGCGCCTGAATAACCAGCAGGAATGGGAAGGAGGAGGGCAGCCGATGTGGCTTAGAATGTGGGGCGGTTAGGTGCTGCGGCCCCAGATGGATATGGACAGCACGACTGGCGGGGGGTGAGGACTAGGCTCCCACAGAGGTGGCGTTCTGGGGGGTGGCCCTGGATTCATGGCATCCAGGCATGGTTTCCCGTGCGGGGCAGTGGGAGGGTGGGTGTGCAGGGCGGTGGGAGGGCGGGTGTGCAGGGCGGTGGGAGGACGGGTGTGCAGGGCGGTGGGAGGGCGGGTTTGCTGGGGGTGAGGGGGTGGGAGGACAGGCCGGAGGGAAGGGAGGGCAGGCCCCTGGGAATGCAGGCTCACCAGGAGGGGTAGGAAGAGAGGGCCTGGGCCGGTGGACAGGGCTGCTGAGCAGGAGGCGGTGGAGGGCAGAAGGCAGGCACAGGCTCTGGGAGGTGGAGGCCGGGCTCAGACCATAGGGTGTGTGGCCATGAGCGGCTGCAGAGATAGAGGGCAGGCGAGGGGACAAAGAAAACGGGAGCAGACGCAGACGGTGGTAGAGACAAGTTTGTGTGGAAGAGAGAGGAGACGCCATGAGGGTGCTGCTGAGTCAGGAGAAGGTTCTAAGGGTTGGGAACTGAGAGGCCAGAGGGACAGTGGCTTCTCCACGTGGAGGCAGGTCACCTGGGGACGGCAGTGAGCCAGCTCAGTATAGATGGCAGACAGCACGATGGGACCGAAGATGATGACACGCCAGGAGGAGGTAGATAACCTGAGGCCGTGGCTGGAGAAAAGCTTTCCTTAAAAAAAAAAAAAAAAAAAAAAAGGCGGAAACCTAAGGTGTGGGATGCGGTCTGGGGAGCAGAGAGCATGTGACCCGCCAGCCTCTGTGTAGGTGCGCATGTGCGGGCCGGAGAGGAGCAGCCCCCTGTTAGGGAGAGGCAGGGGGGAAACCCAGAGCTTGTACAAGCATCTGCAAGGTGGGTGGTGACAAAGATAGCTGGATAGCTGGCGCCTTCCTAGGGCCTTCCTAGACCCCTGGCCTGAGACAGGAATTCCACCCCTCTCATGCCCTCCACCCTCCCCTACTATAATAAACAGCTGTATGAAAGAAGTACCTGGGCCACCTTTTGGCGTGAACTTCCCTGGCCCACCCTCAGACCAGCAGACTTTGCCCAGGAGCTCAAATTAAAACCTCCCCCCCCTTTTAATGGCCTGGCCTCCATGACTTGCTTCTGCATTGCAATCCTCTCAGCTGGAACCTTACATCTTGGTGCGAAATCCGGGCATGGGGTGTGTGCCCTGTGGGACCTTTCCCAATTTGGGGTGCCCCTGTGCCTCAGGAACCCTCAGGCTTCTCTCCAGCTCAGCAGCGGGTGAGTCCCAGGCCCTATTGATTCCTAGGTCATCCTTCCGGAGTCTCTATCTGTAAACCGTGGCCCAAGTCAGAGATAGCCTCTGGGCACAGCCCTCCGGGTCTCCCAGGGAGTCAGGGGAGGCAATGAAGACGTTCCCCTTGCTCTCCGGCCTTTTGGCCTCACTCCGGACCCAGTAGGTGGGGGAGATGTCCCCTGACGTCCCTTTGGTCCCCGGTCCGTAGCCTTGCCTCAAAGATTGGGACGCCAATCCTTGGGCCTCTGCTACTGACCCTAGGTGTCAAAATGGGCAACCAAAAACCGAACTTAGATCCAAAGACCCCACCGGGGTGTCTTGTCACCAACCTGCCTAAGTTAGGCCTGTCCCAGGATCTGCGTCCTAAACACCTCATTTACTTCTGTAACATGGCATGGCCTCAGTATGAATTGGACAATAGGTCAAGATGGCCTGAACATGGGACTTTCGATTTTAACATTCTGACTAACCTCAACAATTTCTGCCAACGAGCTGGAAAGTGGTTGGAGGTTCCATATGTCCAGGCCTTTTTCTATCTGCACTCTTGTCTCTCCCTCTGCTCCTCCTGTTCCACTGCCCAGGTTCTCCTAGTTTGTGAAAAACTCCCCCTGCCTACCGACACGGCTCCATTTTCCGCCTTATCTGAACCCCCTGAGAATCTTTCCCCCCCTCTGACTCGCCCGTCTCCTTGCCTGCCTCCGTATGACAGGGCTCCTTCTGCAAGGCCCTCAGTTCCCTCCCTTCCCCCATCCTCACTCCAGACCTCCCTCCGCCCCCTCCCCCAGCGCCTTCTCCCTTACCTGCTGACCTTCCCCTTCCCCCGCCCCTCCTGCTTCTCCAGTCAGCAGGCACACCCACTCCTGGGCTCCTACTTTCCTCTGCCCCCTCAGGGAAGTTCAGGGGCTGAGGGCGTGGTCAGGGTTCATGTTCCCTTCTCTCTGTTGGATCTCTCCCAGATTGAGAAGCGTCTGTGGTCTTTTTCCACCAACCCCACCGCATTCATTAAGGAATTCCAATACCTTTCTCAGGCCTATGACCTCACCTGGCATGACATCATGCCCTTCTCTCTGCCATCCTAACATCAGATGAAAGGGAAAGAGTCTTAGGAGCGGCAATGGACCTCGCAAATCAGATCCACCTTACAGATGCCTCTATGCCTCATCAGGAACCAGGCTGGGAGTACCAACTAGATACCCCCAAAGGGCGAGACGGGCGCCGAGGTTGTGACCAGATGCTCCAATGCCTAATAGCCGGCCTTCAAGCTGTCTCCCACGAGGTAGTTAGTTTTGACAAGCTGAGGGAAGTTACTCAGGGACCAGATGAGAACCCCGCAGTCTTCCTTCACAGGCTGACGGAGGCTCTGACTCACCTGGACCCTGGGTCCCCGGCCGGAGCAACTGTTCTAGCCACTCACTTCATTTCGCAGTCAGCCCCAGATGTTCGAAAAAAGTTAAAAAGGCAGAGGATGGCCCTCAGATTCCTGTCCG